CCCCCCCCCCCAAAAAAAAAAAAAGTCTACTTACATACCTGAGATGGATTGTTTGGAATTGGTTTATGGATTAAAGGTTGTTTTTACTTTTGCAATTATTTTATTGCTTCCAACGTAAACTTGAGATCTGATATATTGTCAGTTTGTCACTGTTTTACTTCAAAAGTAAGGGCGGAGCTATGCATGGTCCAAGGTAGGCAAGTGCCCCGTCAAAAAAAAAAAAACTTATTACCTAGGTATATATATTATATATTTGTATAATATATAACTTGTGCCCGCCCAAAACCAAAGACAAAAATGTTAGGCCCACCACTGTCCACCCAAAAGAATTAAAAAACGAAGCCCACTTAAAACACAAAAAATTTTGGGCACATATTTTTGAAATCTGGGTATCGTACAAAACATTATAACTTAATAACGATAAGTTGAAACTCAAATAGATCGAGTTGCGACTCAATGAAATTGAGTTAGGATTGATCCTCAAAACTTGGGATGGATCCCAAATTGTTGAAATTTGGTATCGATCCAATTTTTTAACCGATTGAGTTTTCATTTGATCATGGTGTATCATATCTTCTCAGTTTTTTTTGGATATTGTATGAAATTTTAAATTTTTCTGCAATACTTGTAGTCATATAAATAATACTAAGAGAACAATGAGACAAGTTTTTTATTTTATTAAGGCTTCCCCCAGATGACATTAATTTTATTATTGATGAATTTTTGCAAGTGAAAGAAAGTGCAATTGACCTTCATTTAACTTCTTTTTTTCTACGAGAAATCGTCTATATTTTTATTCGAGTATTGAACATAGTCTTAAATTTTTTTACTATATTTAGCTCTTAAATATTAGTTTATTAATTTTACAATGCTAATATCTCAGTGTGTTAAGAACATTGTTTATTGAATAAATTTAATGAATTGTTAGTGAATAACTAAATTTTTTAATTACAAAAATGACAATTAGCCCCATTTTTTTCGATGGTGATAATTAGTCATGTTTTGTACATAGGGTAGTTCAAATTTTCGACCAGCCGCAAGTTCCTACCCTACTTGACCCTACCCTACCCTACTGAACTGCTAGCCGCAAAAATCGGGTAGGAATGCGGAAGAGTTTTTGGTCTTCCGATAATTTTTGGGTAGGAATGCGGAATAGCCATCCATTTTCGCATTCTTACCCTACCCTACATGCAATAATTTTTTAATATATATATAAACTAGAAAAACCCTAACCACAAGCGAAGCAATTATGATTTTAATGTATTTCATATGGTTTAAAGTTTAAACTTAAATTAATTGTTATTGTATTTATGTAACAATTATGGTAGATTGATGTTCATACTTTCTTGTGTTTTATTATAATTTTTGTTGTAGTTGTTATAGATTTTAGTGTTAATTGATTTATTGTGCTGTTAAATTGGTACATGTTATTTAATTAAATTGTTAAAATGATCCAAAAATTAATTATTATAAAAATGTTTACCCGATTTCCTACCCGACTTTCTACCCGATTAATCGGGTAGGAAGTCGGGTTGGAATACCACACCTATCAGGTGGGGTAGGCTAAGAAAAAACTCTTCTGCAAAGTATTGGGTAGGAAGACGGAAGAGCATATTTCCTACCCGTAAGGTAGGGTGAACACTCCTAATTATACATTATTTTTTATGCTAAATAGACTTTATGTATCAAATGTGATATGATAAATATAAATATATTATATAGTGTGATTGGTTAGGAAGAAAAAAATTAGAGTGCATAATTAAAGTGTCTGCCCTAAACAAAATTTTTGGCTCCTCCCCTATTCAAAAGTATACATGATATTTGGTAACTTGAGACCAACCCATTTTATCAAGTTTCAAAACCTTGTTCATTTTTGGGAGGATTTTTCTACAAAGCATTGTGCTCATCCCTTACTATTAACATTTTACAAATTTAAACCTAGAGGAGGAGCTCGAATTGGATGAGCAAGCAGATTGGGAAGCCCAGGTTGAGGAGGACATGAGTCCCAACGTGGATGTTTAGGGCTATGCCTTTTTATAGTCTAATTTGAAAGTTGATTATGAGACAAAGTTAAGAAGGATATTTTATTTATTCCGCTGCGAGATACTATTTATTTTTGGGATGTAATTGAAGGTTTTTAATTACATATGGTTGGGATTGTTTTGGTTCCTTAAACATACTTAAATTAGTTGGTTTTGGAAATGTTTTATTTAATTTTGGATGTAATTGCCAAGATTTGACATATTGGTTTTGGATTATTCGTTAGTTTTTATGGATAATGAATGAAATTCTTTCTAGTTGTGAATTGTGTTAATTGCTCTCATAGTATGTATGATTTTTAGATAGTAATATCTTTCAGGGTGGGTTTTAGGGTGTTACAAAATTTCTCAGTGAAATTCTTTGCAATGTAAACATCATCGTGTCTAGAAAAATGTCACATACTTGTACTTCTAATTTCCTTTTCTTTTATGGAAAAGCCTAGTTTTGATAATTCGCATAGCGAGGGGACATGTCCCTCGCTAACCTAACCGCCTCTAGAATAAAGTATTTCATTTTATTAGCAACCACAATGACTGACTCATGTTTTGGTTCAAGGAGCATTGTAAATTAACAAGGTGCTTCATTTGGAAGCAAATGAGTTTAAAGAAGTGCATAAACCACAAGATATACACCTGTTAGGCATAAATAGAACAACATTTGGAAGACACAATGATCAAAATTTCGTTTCGGTGCATTTTTTAGGTCACCCAAGAAAAGGAAAATGTTTCGACTCGTTTCAAAAACATTTCAACTAGTTTCGAAAATAGAATGGAAAAAATAATAAATTTAAGAATTATTTTTTCAAGACATTGGTTGAAATATATCAAAATATCTTAAAATATTCTGAAATAATTGTACAAATACATTGAAATATAACAAAACATTTCGAAAAATTATGGAACACCTTTAAGTATTAGAATTTTGATTTCATCACTGATTCGTTTTGGTCTCCTTGAAAACAAAAATGTTTCGGTCTCCTTGGAAACAAAAACGTTTCGGATATTTTGACCGTTGCAAAACGATATTTTAATACTTGGAAGACACTTAGAAAATGAGTTTAAAGACACTTGGAAGGCATGGTTCACATGGTAAATAACAAGCATTCCCATTAATACTGTATGCAAAACAATTCTAGCAGTCGAATTCATATCATAACTCCGCCATCATGAAAAAATAGTAATTTTGCAAAAAATAAAAAAATAAAAATTATTACCTTATAGATAGCATCCCAAGGCATACAGCCGAGAAAATCAAAGATGAAGTGAGACTTCAAGTACCTGAATAGCAAAAAACATGAAAGGGATTAAAGTCAATAGTATAGATAGAAATTGAACAAAAAGGGGAAGAAAGAAACTAACCGAAGAGCAATTGGGGTGCGCTTGTAGACCATTTTATAGGTCTGACGATCTCTGTAGGCGATGAAGAATTGCAGGACAATGTCAAAAAGAAAAGCTACTTGACCCGCTATGTCCAAAAAGAAGAGGTTCTTGGGCAATCCCCTGAAGAACCCAAACTCAAAGGGGGTGAAGAAAGATGAGTATAGAGCCCATATGAGTATGAATTTCTCCCATGCCCGGTACCACCTGTATTCGGAATAGTTTATATGGATATTTTTACAGACAATAAACAACTGTATTTCAAAGCTAGAGACAGAGAAGGAAAGAGAGAGTGGCACAACTTTTGGCGCGAAGACTTTAGGCGAGAGCCGTGAGCGGTTAAAACCGTTGTCTGCCCTCCTTTTGCCTTTCCCTGCTGTTATTAGCTCACGTTGGCATACTCGGAAAGCCCCCCAAGGTTTTTCCTTTTTGGTTGTTTGGTTTAAGTAAGCCACCAAGTTTATTGTGTTTTTTTTTTAATTGAGTTAAGATCAAGGTTAAGTTACTAATAAATAAAGGGAAATTCCATTTGAAAGATACAAACATTTTTAGTTTGTTCTCGAATGATTAATTTTTGTCACATTGCTCCTTTAAATAAATAAAAATATTATAATATAGTTTATCGTCTTATTTTCGTTTGGTTGTCCATTTATTTTGTGTCAAATTAACTAATTAAGAATCACAAAACAGACGGATGACCAAACGAAAATAAAACTGTAGACCACATTGTAACGTTTTTTATTCTTTGAGGGGCCAATGTGAAAAAATTAATTATTTGAGGGTAAATTGAAAATTTTTACATCTTTCAATGGACAAAATGAGATTTTTCCATTAATAAAAATTGAGTCATGATTCAAAAATATTAAAATCAATCTAATAATCATAAAAGTACCATGAAATTTTTGAATTCCTCATCTATACTTAAACAAAATTATATAGACAATTATACGTCACACTAATAATTGCATTTAAAACTTTTAAGTTTCTATTCTGTCCTTAAATAAATATATAAATACTTATGACTTAAATCATAAAAATTTGACCTTGTGCACACCCTTAAAGAAACCTACAAATTCAATTATTACCAAGATACAATTCATAAAAGTCACTAGAAAAAAAAAAATTCTAATTTTATCCCAACAAAATTCAATAAAGTACATATTATAATTTTGTAACTGTGATTTAACAATAATATAAAATCTATATTATCCTTGATCCAAATATTACTCTAATTGATTTCTCTCTTTTTTTTTTTTTATGGATTCATAATATAAAACTATATTTTTTCGTTGGTCTAATTTGTATTCTAACTTATCTAACTTGTAAACCTTATAAATTCTAGAAATAGTGCAAACAAGTTTAAAGAGTTCGTGAGAGTAAATATCAAGTTATAACAATAACTTATGAAATTTATACGGAGTTAAACCCCTTTAAAATTTGATTTTTGAACTTTCTATTAGTTACTAATATCTTATATTTTTAGATAAATCTAAAATTAAATTTCTTTAACTAGAGATAAGTTAGTCCTTGGGAATTCCCAAAATGTTAATCCCTCAATATAAATGTTACAAAAGAAACAAGTATTTGTAGTTGAAACATGTACATCTTCTATCTATTGGTTTGTATGGAACTTAAAGCTGCAGCTTGCTCTTGATCTATATTTGAAGGCATGTTATGATGATTTACTTGATTATCCTATTATATTGTGTTCTATTATAAAATTACAATATTTTTTGTGGTGATTTTATCAAACTTCTATTTTGCAAAGTTTGTATCACCGTGATTTATGCAACCAATGATTATGGACTCTTAGCAAGCATAATAGATTTACTACACAAAAGCATATAGTCTCAATCAGCTTTCCAGTATTCATAGGGTGATCAATCAATCTTGAAGTAATTAATTTAGCATGTAGTCTAACTTCTTATTGTGGTTGAAACACATAATAACATATTTAGACAACAAGTATCAAAGGGCATATACTTTGATTCATAGGTATATATTAAATTATTTCAGCATAATGATAAAAAAATAACATCACCACTATAAATTAAACTTGTCCACGTGCAACACACATATGTACCAATGTGTCAAGTGATAATTTCACATTAAAAAATATTATTGACATGTATTCATATAATAGGAGTATGCATTGGTAAATCAAGATTATAGGTTTAGCACAATACATCTATATAAAAGAACAAAAAATTTACAGATAATTAAAGAAAAATTTGAAAGATGACATAAGAGAATTCTTAAAAATGACGACATAAAAAACTAAATCTGACATTTGGAAAGAATTGCTTACTTGACCACTCTTAGCTGATTTAGTCTTAAGAGATCGAAGGGTTATCAATTAGACTAGACCAAATTAATTTGATCATTTATTATCTTTCTACTTCAAAAGAGGAGATTGTTGGTAGGTATGTGACCAATATATTTTACCATATTTACAATTAAACTATAAAATAAGACCCATAAATTATAAAAACACATTTTGAAGCAATTTTTAATAATATTCAAGTTCTAAATAAATTAACTTATATACCAATATGATAAGTATAAAATCAAAATTATTGTCAAAAATAATTTACATGCAACGCACTGTTCAATATCTATTACTATCAAAAAGTTAACTGGTGCTAAATCAATGTTGCTTGATACTTAAGTCTCATTTCTATTTCTTAGCTATAAATAGCAAAGAATTGTTTAAAATTCATAAGAAATCAATTCATCAACAATTTTTTGACTAACTAGAAAAAACTTTACAAATTAACAGTGTAAAATNTAACATTTGGAAAGAATTGATTACTTGACCACTCTTAGCTGATTTAGTCTTAAGAGATCGAAGGATTATCAATTAGACTAGACCAAATTAATTGGATCATTTATTATCTTTCTACTTCAAAAGAGGAGATTGTTGGTAGGTATGTGTAGGTATGTGACCAATGTATTTTACCATATTTACAATTAAACTATAAAATAAGACCCATAAATTATAAAAACACATTTTGAAGCAATTTTTAATAATATTCAAGTTCTAAATAAATTAACTTATATACCAATATGATAAGTATAAAAATAAAATTATTGTCAAAAATAATTTACATGCAACGCACGTGTTCAATATCTATTACTATCAAAAAGTTAACTGGTGCTAAATCAATGTTGCTTGNGCTGCAGCTTGCTCTTGATCTATATTTGAAGGCATGTTATGATGATTTACTTGATTATCCTATTATATTGTGTTCTATTATAAAATTACAATATTTTTTGCGGTGATTTTATCAAACTTCTATTTTGCAAAGTTTGTATCACCGTGATTTATGCAACCAATGATTATGGACTCTTAGCAAGCATAATAGATTTACTACACAAAAGCATATAGTCTCAATCAGCTTTCCAGTATTCATAGGGTGATCAATCAATCTTGAAGTAATTAATTTAGCATGTAGTCTAACTTCTTATTGTGGTTGAAACACATAATAACATATTTAGACAACAAGTATCAAAGGGCATATACTTTGATTCATAGGTATATATTAAATTATTTCAGCATAATGATAAAAAAATAACATCACCACTATAAATTAAACTTGTCCACGTGCAACACACATATGTACCAATGTGTCAAGTGATAATTTCACATTAAAAAATATTATTGACATGTATTCATATAATAGGAGTATGCATTGGTAAATCAAGATTATAGGTTTAGCACAATACATCTATATAAAAGAACAAAAAATTTACAGATAATTAAAGAAAAATTTGAAAGATGACATAAGAGAATTCTTAAAAATGACGACATAAAAAACTAAATCTAACATTTGGAAAGAATTGATTACTTGACCACTCTTAGCTGATTTAGTCTTAAGAGATCGAAGGATTATCAATTAGACTAGACCAAATTAATTGGATCATTTATTATCTTTCTACTTCAAAAGAGGAGATTGTTGGTAGGTATGTGTAGGTATGTGACCAATGTATTTTACCATATTTACAATTAAACTATAAAATAAGACCCATAAATTATAAAAACACATTTTGAAGCAATTTTTAATAATATTCAAGTTCTAAATAAATTAACTTATATACCAATATGATAAGTATAAAAATAAAATTATTGTCAAAAATAATTTACATGCAACGCACGTGTTCAATATCTATTACTATCAAAAAGTTAACTGGTGCTAAATCAATGTTGCTTGATACTTAAGTCTCAATTCTATTTCTTAGCTATAAATAGCAAAGAATTGTTTAAAATTCATAAGAAATCAATTCATCAACAATTTTTTGACTAACTAGAAAAAACTTTACAAATTAACAGTGTAAAATATAAAATGTAAAATATAGATTCAAATCCTCTATGATATATTTTTTTATAATGATAAATTATCTATCATGTATTGAAATAAAATTTGGTGGGTTTTATTCGTTATGAAGATCTATAATGAAAATGACCAAAAAAAAAAAAAATCTATAATGAAAGTGACTAAAATTAAATATTAGATTTACTTGTATGTGGCTGCCAATGGTACATCCTGTAGGCCCCAGAAAACAACAGCTTCATTCATTNAATAAAATTATTGTCAAAAATAATTTACATGCAACGCACGTGTTCAATATCTATTACTATCAAAAAGTTAACTGGTGCTAAATCAATGTTGCTTGATACTTAAGTCTCAATTCTATTTCTTAGCTATAAATAGCAAAGAATTGTTTAAAATTCATAAGAAATCAATTCATCAACAATTTTTTGACTAACTAGAAAAAACTTTACAAATTAACAGTGTAAAATATAAAATGTAAAATATAGATTCAAATCCTCTATGATATATTTTTTTATAATGATAAATTATCTATCATGTATTGAAATAAAATTTGGTGGGTTTTATTCGTTATGAAGATCTATAATGAAAATGACCAAAAAAAAAAAAAAACTATAATGAAAGTGACTAAAATTAATTATTAGATTTACTTGTATGTGGCTGCCAATGGTACATCCTGTAGGCCCCAGAAAACAACAGCTTCATTCATTCATTTGGTTGCTGTATTAAAAATAGATGAATTTGATAAAATAATTCAGTCTAATATAATATAGAAGGACAAAAAATAAGATTAAATGGGGTACTAAAATAACACGTAATTTTATCTAATATTTTACAATACACAATATAAACGTTGAATAATAGTTATTTAATCCAATTAGTTGTTAGGTTAAGAAATTATTTTATAATATTAATGTTGAATTAACAAAATACCNACAAAAAATAAGATTAAATAAGGTATTAAAATAATATGTAATTTTATCTAATATTTTACAATACACAATATAAACGTTGAATAATAGTTATTTAATCCAATTAGTTGTTAGGTTAAGAAATTATTTTATAATATTAATGTTGAATTAACAAAATACCTTCAATGAGTGTTTGTTACATTGATAACAACTTGATTTTGTCAATTGAGATGTTATAATAATAAATGTATAGAATAATACGTTTGAGTTGAATCATAATATTACCTCTCCTGATATACGTTTTTTAAATTAATACGGTATCAAATTTATTTACCAAATAACATATTAGACCCGATTAAATAAAAAATAGTACAATTCAATATTTAATTCCTCGTAATTTGCCAACGCAGCCTACAGTCTTAGGCGATTTGGCTGCAATACAAACAACTGTATGAGTACGACNATCTCTCCTGATATACGTTTTTGAAATTAATACGGTATCAAATTTGTTTACCAAATAACATATTAGACCCGATTAAATAAAAAATAGTACAATTCAATATTTAATTCCTCGTAATTTGCCAAAGCAGCCTACAGTCTTAGGCGATTTGGCTGCAATACAAACAACTGTATGAGTACGACCNCCTCAATGAGTGTTTGGTATATTGATAACAACTTGATTTTGTCAATTGAGATGTTATAATAATAAATGTATAGAATAATACGTTTGAGTTGAATCATAATATTACCTCTCCTGATATACGTTTTTTAAATTAATACGGTATCAAATTTATTTACCAAATAACATATTAGACCCGATTAAATAAAAAATAGTACAATTCAATATTTAATTCCTCGTAATTTGCCAACGCAGCCTACAGTCTTAGGCGATTTGGCTGCAATACAAACAACTGTATGAGTACGACCATAACACTAGCTTTTGTCTTTCCTTTTTTGGCCAATATATATATATATATAGACATGTACTATAACAGTATTTTAATATTCCTAAAAGAAGTGGTATTATAATCTAATTCAAACGTATTATTCTACATATTTACTATTAATCTTTCAACTGATAAAATTAAGTTGTCATAAATATAACAACATTGATAGAGCATATTTTTATTAATTTAACATTAATACGATAAAAAAATTCCTTAACTAAACAACTGATTAAATTAAATAACTACTATCTAACGNAAAGAAGTGGTATTATAATCTAATTCAAACGTATTATTCTACATATTTACTATTAATCTTCCAACTGATAAAATTAAGTTTTCATAAATATAACAACATTGATAGAGCATATTTTTATTAATTTAACATTAATATGATAAAAAAATTCCTTAACTAAACAACTGATTAAATTAAATAACTACTATCTAACGTTTATATTGTGTAAGGCCAAACACTTGATAAAATAACTTATTGTTTTAATATTTTATTTAATTTTATCTTTTGTCCATTTGTATTGTATTAAATTGAATTAATTTATCTACTTCGTTCATTTATAAATTGACAATCAAACAAGTCCTCAAAGTCCTACTAAATTTTTTTTTGAATTTTTTTATTTTTGTGCTCTCGCAACTGCGCNTATTTTAATATTTTATTTAATCTTATCTTTTGTCCATTTGTATTGTATTAAATTGAATTACTTTATCTACTTCGTTCATTTATAAATTGACAATCAAACAAGTCCTCAAAGTCCTACTAAATTTTTTTTTGAATTTTTTTATTTTTGTGCTCTCGCAACTGCGCTATCTCTACGTGGTCTAGGAGGTAACTTGAGCTGAGACTAGCTTTGAATTCAAAATTCTGGATAACGTAATGTTGAATCCCATTCACCACAACTGGCGAATCCTTGGCCGTTCGATTTTTAAAAATCAAGTCCAAATCAGTGATGCCAAGTATTAGACACATCCACATGTCGGGTAGGCCCCGTCCACTCCTTATGTGCCACGTGCCAATCCTTGGCGGGAATTGTCTCTGCTATCTCCTCCGCAAACACATCCGCCGTGATCTTTGGAGAGAGAGAGAAAGATGTCGTCCTTAGCAGGAAAACTTGGGATTTGGGATATAGATTTAGAGAGAGAAACTCTATATAGAGAGACAGAGACAGAGATAAGATTGAACCTGTTATCAGGATGAATGGCGAGACCTTGCGAGAGGTCTCGGAGACCATTAAGGACGCTTTCTCGGCTGTATCTCCTTCGATTCGAATCGAGTCCCAACTCGTTCGCTATCAAATCGAATCGACTTCCTCTCGAAGATTTAATCCCATCTCTCAAATCCTCAACCTCATACTCTCCTTCATCTTCCAACCCATTTGTCTCCTCCTTTCTTCCATTCATCATCGCCGTCGCCGACAATCAAGCCTGCCGAGGCAACCCACACGGTTGCCTCGAATTTTCCAACGAAAACCCCGCTCTCGGACTCGTACCTCTCTGCATAAAACAACCACCACCCCAATGATGATTTATCGGAACAATTTGATTGTAATAGCATTAGTTTGTTCTAGAACTAAATTTAGAAAAAAAAAAAAAAAGAAAAATAAAAAACTGAGTTGAAAATCAAACTGACCGTGAAAATAGGAAGGATTGTAGCAAGATCACGAGCGTTTGCGTTTGAGATCTAGAGCACTAGAAATGACGGCTTCGTCTGGTTTGATGATTGAAGCATTCGTTCACGGAAAATCTGTTGAGTGAGAAAAAAGTTTAGGCAACGATACACCATACAAGGACAACGATTAGCCTATTTATAGCCATACAAAGTTTGGTCATTCTTTTTATGTGTGGATGTAAGTAAATTAAAATACTATTTATGATAAAAACTGTACATTATTCATTGGTTATCAACATACAATGGATCGCGTCGGCACAGTTTAGGGCACGAGGCAACCACTGAGATTTCTTTATTTTGATTAATTACGTGGTGCTTATTAGATTTATTTTTAGGTCTGGAGGGTAATAAGATGATAGGTGATTAAACTATGTTGATAAGTTATCTAGTAGAGTTTCTTTACTTGGGTAATATTATCCTGTGATAACTTATCAAAATGTTACAGGTCATATAACATAACGTAATGATTAAAGTATTACCATCCCATCAAATTAGAGGCTTAATCAAATCATTTTATGCTATGTTCATACCGTGTTATTTTTGTTTTATATCATATTCTGGCTACGTTGCATTTGTGTTTCTACTATCTCCCATGGAAGAATACGGTCAACCTGCAAAATCTTCTAGAAAAGGTTTTGCCACCTCCTTCCAAATTCAGATTTTCTACCCTCACACTTCCACCCTTTTTACCTTCTTATCACCTCCAATTTTTTTAATGTTCTGGTTGGTATAATAAAAAAATCGAAAGATAAAAAGTTTAAGAGATAAATAAAACATCATATTTGGTAAGAAAAAAAAATATGAATGATGAAAAAGTGGATGAATTAACTTTTCTTCTAACTCACCAAAATCAATCCCGATTAATTATTTGTGTTGAGATGTATCTTATTTATTTATATATTATGTATATATTAATTTCATATAAAAATACAATGATAAAAAATTCATCTTAAGTAGGGAAAAAAATTTTCAACTCAACACAATGACACGACTCGAACTCGACACAAATTTTATGGCACTAACTTGAAAATGACCTAACACGCAAACAAGAAATATAAAATGCTCATAATTTTACGAATTAACACGAATCTGACACGACAAGAGTCAATTGTTACCCCTAATCTTAGCCTACACAAAAAAATAAAAAATAAAAATAAATAGTCATTTTCATTTTCATTTTCAATCCGTCCAACCAAACACAAAGGAAGAAAAGTGTATCATTCCTACTTTCCATCCTTGAATGATAGAAAATGTATCCCTCTTACTTTCCATTCTTCCTATTTTTTCATTATTCCTACCAAACGGAGCATAATGCTCCAATTGATATGAAGGATAGAAAGTATGAAAGATAAAAATTATGAAGGATACATTTTTTATCCTTTAAGGAAAATATAGTACCCGAAAAACTTCAAGACACGTGTCTACACTGTAGCAGGACAAGTGACAATAATTATTAGTTGACATGGAAATGAAACCCGATAGAGTCCAGATGAACTAGTATAAATAACAATATCATGTGTGACAACTAAGGCACGACACTCATGCGCGACACATAAGGTGCGATGCCCCCTGGCCGCGNTACAGCTGAACTAGTATAAACAACAATATCATGTGTGACAACTAAGGCACGACACTCATGCGCGACACATAAGGTGCGATGCCTCCTGGCCGCGGCGCTCTCAAGCACAACATCGCAACAGGGCGACATACATCCCCATCACATTGGAAATGAAAAAGTGGACCCTTCACTAAGGGTGGACAAAAGTGAAATCGTAGAAGTATGGGGCGACCTCGGCGAAACTTGTCTCCCCTACTATGGGAGTGGTATCTTCAACCTATTGGACACCAATGCTCGACTAGCCCATTGGATTAAAAGAAGACATCCCCACCTAGGGACATGGAAGTATGACCCTTCTCAAGGGAGAACTGAGTAATGGGGATGAACGAACACGATTGTCAACCTCGACCTGGTGCAAGGTCTCAAAGGTTTAATTTGCTCAAGCAAGTCTCCCAATATATGGCTCATTGCCCGCTAGGATGTACTTAACTGGGACCCAGAGAGACTCCTAAGGTAATTGGGGTTATTGGTCCGGATCAGCATATGGGATGATGGGACATGTAGATTGGTGGCTGAAGGATTGAAATTATGTGGGTTTCCTCTATCGGGCACCTCGACAAAAATCTTGAGGAAGGGTCTAGAGAGGGAATAGTAGACCCCGGGTAGGAGGGCATTGGGAGCATCATGGGCATGGTCCTCTCGAGGTCATGATCCCACAGTGACCAGTTGCGGTCATAGACCTTGGGAGCCCTCTCTCACCTTGGCTGTCACACCTTCCTCGAGGCCACGTCCAAGTTGCGTTTGGACAAACATCACATCTGCCTAATTAATGTTGGGACGCATAGCTCACCGCTAATGGCCATTGGTATCGTCATGATTGAGGCAGTTGTGGATTAGCGTGAGTGGTAGGGGGTCACAACAGGTAGTCCTTTAGGCAGCCCGACTTGCTCAAGCAATGTGCTATAAATACCTACATTACTTACCCACTGTGGGGGGGGATGATTTTTCTGGTTGGTGAGAGCATTTTTCACCTACCTTTTGCCCAACTGGCTCGGCCCTTCATTAATAGGCTGCTCAAGTTCTTTCCATCTCATCCACTTATCCTACTCACCCCTTTCGATTACTCTTGGCATAGACACATGTGTCAACCTTTTTTAACTCCCCACCTACATTCTTTTGTCCACTCCACTGGGGAGGTTGGTCCTCGCTAACCTATGCCTATTACAATTCAAAGTGGAAGAGTATTGTCTAATATAATGACCGAAAAACAACAACGACAAGGAAGGCAAACAACAGAAAAAGCCCACCCTAACGTGAGGATAGTCATGATTCCTCTACAAGCCGAAGGGCTCCGGATGTGTCAGGGCCCTCTACAATGGTACAGGCTCTGCACGACATGCAAACTCTGCAACAACAGATGGCTGCGATAATGCAGATGATTCTAGCTCAGATGTATTTTTGGCCACTTGGCTTACCATCTGCCTTGCAAAACCCATAGATGTTCTTACCATTGCTCCCGTAGTACCCGGTGGTACCACCTTCAACTTTGCCAACATCTCTTCCAATAGCACTGGCGAGCAATAATGGTGCATCACAGAAGTCGAGCCCTTATGGTTTAAATTTGTAAAACCCTACCAGCGAACCTCTACCACTTCCGCTACAAATGAATGCAACTAACCCCCTAGTTCCCTCATAGCAAACTACCATAGGCAACCCTCTAGCACTTTTGCAACAAACTACTGCAACGGGATCGCTAACTCCCCTATAACAAGCAGCTACAACGGGCCCTCAAGATGTCACAGCCTTTGAGGTACCCACTGTGGCTACACCCTTAACCACGACTAGTGTACATCTCTTAAACTTTCTAATGGCTCTCGGATGTGAGCACACTGCAACTGGCTACAACTATGGCCTCACAACTTCCCAAATAGCTCCTCTCACCATCTCTACAACAGTGCCGACAACTACCCAAGTGTGGGGTCAAACTATTTTTTCCACTGTCCCTGCAACCATGCCTTTAGCATTTCTGGCCCCCATCGCCACCACCTTGTTTCCATCAGCAGCCGCTTGGATGTTGGACTTGGCTAGCACAGAACAGCCAATGCCTAGTGCTGGGTTTGTCATGCTGGCCCAAGTACAAGCCTTACTGGATAAATAGAAGGAGCTTATGCCAACAACCATGGACATAAGTTCCAAGTTTATCTCGGCTATGCAGCAAGCCATATATCCTGCAGGGTACTCACCGCTGAAGTTTGAGAAGTTCGATGGAAAAAATGGCAACCCCAGGGAGCACATTACCCGTTATCTTGATAGCATTGGCCACTATGTGCTTAACGAGCCTCTTCGGATGAGGGAATTTTTCAAGTCCCTCAAGGACAAGGCCTTCACCTAGTATGCTAATCTCCTAGCAGAATTAGTGAAGGATTGGAACAACTTGGTTGCGCAAATTTACGCAAATTTCTTCCATGTCGAGCAACATACTACAATACTTTCCCTAATGAAGACTATTCAAGATGACAAAGAAGCCCTGATGACATACATTGACAAGTTCCATGACAAATCCATCGAGTGCCAAGAAAATATCACTAAAGAGGCCCTTGTCCGAATCTGCATCGACGGAATGAACAAAAAATACAAGGCATACTTGGTGAACAATGACTTTGAAACCTTTACTAGGCTGTGCGAATCTGCTCAAAGGCTTTTGGAGGTGGTCCAACCCTCCCTGAAAGTAGCTGGTTGGAAGGACAAGAGGAAATGAACAACTGTCACAGTTGCTAAGGAGGTCCTAAAGGAGGGTCAGCGTCCAAAGAAATGAGGGAGAACCTCCAAGCCTGAGGAGCCACCTTCGTATCCTTGTGGTATGAAAGAAGTCTGACAGATTCTCATGGAATGGATTAAGAATGATGATGTCGAGCTACCACCAGTGGAAAATGAGCCAACTAAAGAAGAAAAAAATAGCCCGACCTTTTGTGACTTTCATCGTCACACCAAGCACGACCTTAAGGATTGTTGGACCATGTGTCGACTATTTCAGAAGTGCTTAAAGAGTGGAGAGTTGGTATTGACGGGCGTTGGGGGCAATGTCCATGATCAACTCCTCATAGACCACGAAGAAGGTAAGGAGGTGCACATGGTGTCGTTCTATGACGAAATCGAGGATATAGCGGAAGGTAACTTCGAAGAGTGGCCTGAAATTCAGTTAAATCGAGAAACCTTAGAAGATTGCCACGATGTTCTAGAGATTGACCCATATGCGAGTGCATGTATCTTGAAGGAAACAGTCACGTTCAAAAAATTTTTTAATCAGTTCGGACTTACTGATGGTACCAGATTGGCAGCCACCAAGGCCATTATAGACTTGTGCTCAAGCCCTGAGAAGTGCATGGTTGCTGAAGGCTCAGTGTCCCGTAATATCAAAGAAAGGTCTAATGCCATCACCTTCACAGAGCGAGATTGCCAAGTACCNATTTTTTAATCAGTTCGGACTTACTGATGGTACCAGATTGGCAGCCACCAAGGCCATCATAGACTTGTGCTCAAGCCCTGAGAAGTGCATGGTTGCTGAAGGCTCAGTGTCCCGCAATATCAAAGAAAGGTCTAATGCCATCACCTTCACAGAGCGAGATTGCCAAGTACCCTAGAATCACAATCGCCCGCTCTACATCACC